GCACTCGCGCCCCCCGACCCGCCGGCCGCACTCGCGCCCCCCGACCCGCCGGCCGCACTCGCGCCCCCCGACCCGCCGGCCGCACTCGCGCCCCCCGACCCGCCGGCCGCACTCGGGGACATACCTCTTGACGGCTTTCTGGGCCAGCATGCGGTTGCCAACCAGGAATGTGAAGCTGCCGCTGATGGCCAAGTACTTCAGCGTCTGGAACATGTCGAGGTGGGTCCAGTATATGTACATCAGGCCCAGCATGGCTGAAACGGGCAAATGGGACATTCTGAAACAGAGCCCTGCTTAGGTAACACAAGCTCGGGCTGGTACGTGGCTCTGCAGGTTGGCCCTCTGTGTCAGTGAGCAGAAGGTCACTGGTTCGAATCCCCTGTCCAGCAGACTGATGCTGCTGCTGGGCCCTTGAGAATGGAGCCCCCAATGGCTCCAGAGACTGGTTAACCCTGCCTCCTCAAGTGTATGTCACTTTGGACAAGAGAGTCTTTTACAAGTATTTAAGTGGCTTCAGTAAGCACATCGTCAAAGACAAAACCTTAGTTGCACAGAGAACATATTTAATCAAGCTATTGCATGTTCATAATACGAGCAAAACTCCGGCGTTTCTCACTCACCTGCATGGCCCAGATGGAACAACACAGAGCTGGGAGAGAAGCTGAAGTTGGAGATATTTGCTCCAAGCCTCACCCACTGGATGGATGAGGAAAGACCACAATAAACAACCGGCAGGCAAGGTTTCTACATGACAATCTACTGATGAACAAAAAAAAAAATCTTACTAATATGTTAATGAAGATAATTAAGTTTATTTTGCTTCCCCTCCCCAACGCAGAGAGCAGAACAGGGCATAATGGCCTCACCAGGATGAGCAGCAGGAGTAACGGAGAGAGGACCAGGGCTGTGAATGTGCTGGACACTACAGTGGGGGGCTTCTTCTCCGGCTCCCGAAACAAATGCTGTGCAGAGACGCAGTATCAGCACCACCTCCCATCAGGCATTTTTGAAGACCGAAACTCATTTACCGCTCATTTACCTTGATCTCAGGCTTGGGTACATAGAGTGTTTTGGACTGGATCACAGACGGAGCCTCTTCATCCAGAAACTTCAGCACAACATCAGCCTTGACACAGAGTTCAACTCCCATTAATACACGAAAACTTGTCAATTCGTGCACAAGTAGATGAATATGAAAGTAGGCGCCTCTCGATAGGAACCGTGACACTCACCACGTTCCAGAGAACGGGGTTCTCCAGCGTGGCATCACCCACAATGAGGTAGAGAGCATAGGTGCCCGAAATGGAGTCAAACTCAGACTTCCTCTCCGCCGTGTCCAGCTCAAACTTGTACACATTTTTATTGTCTGGCTCGGCCACAAATACCACCTCCTGACCAGTTTTCTGATTATGTAGCCTCACAAAGGTCTACAGAAGGAAAAATGCAAAATCATCTGAATACGAACTCATGAGAAATCACTGGAGGAACAAGAGCATTCATCAGTGTGGGGGGGGGGGGTATGGCTGTGAGCATAGAGTCATGCTTTGGGTGGGGGAAGGATACATTTTTTCGGTATCCTCTACATACCTGGTGAGGTGTGAGCTCTCCACCTGAGTTGACGTCAACCAACTGGAAGGACATGGCAAAGTTCTGGTGGCTGTCGGCTGTAAAGGAGGTCTTGGCTTTGGAGGGATACTCCACCCTGGACAAGCAAAACACGCAGCTTCACACGGTGTCCCGAGCAGCGACTAAGGAAGCAGGCAGGACCAGGAAACCTGCAGATCTTGCGCACTAACCTGGTTGTCTTGGTGCCGATGCTCTGATCCTTGTCCACTACAGACAGATCCATATTAGTGATGGACACTTCAGTGGACACTTTCACTTTAAGCTAAAGAGAGAAAACCAAAAACCTTAGTTTGATGCAAGCCAGGTCTCCTGCAACTCAAATCACTTTTGAAAATTGTACCACAAGTCTCAGGTGCAAAGCAGCGCATTAAAATGGCAAGACGGCAGCATTTAAATGCAAATTGTATTCATTATTAGAGTCGAGGAAGGGTTTGTGATGAACGCATTAATCTGTCATGCCACAGTACAGTCCTTGAAGCATTCAAGAGTAAAAAAAAAAAAAAAAGGCTAATTTTCTTTCTTAAAAGCGCTTCTGTGAAGGCTACATCTATTCATGCAGATGACCTCTCCCCAAGGTCAGCTTGTGACAGAGAAATCCCTCTGTGAGTAGGACTGCACAATATCACACAAAAGATATGCCACATGTGCAATAATCACAGGGCTTTAGATGAAGGGAGTAAACATTTGTCCGAACGCTGGCTTTTCAGGTCCATACGGACAAGTAGCATAGCTAAAATACTGAGAGCCGTTCTGTAACATCCTACAGTTAGTCATCTGTATGGATTTGGTGTATTATTATGTTTAATAAACGTCAAGACTATAAAAAGCAAAAATTATGCCACACCACCGACGTCTACCTTGTTTATCCACAATATCTCCTCTTTAAAAAGATGGTTGCTAAGCTGTCCCGTAATTTACACAAATGAACTTTTGGGAGTCATGATACACCTCATTAATATTTTAGGAGTTCAGCTAATGTTCTTATCAAACTGTGGATGTAAATAAATGTTCATTCAGTACAAAAAAAGCTGGCGCTTATGCCCACCATGTAAAGCCATGGTGATTATTGCGTAGGAGCCATATAATTACGATTAGATCGCGATGTGATATCGTGCAGCCCTATCTATGAGACACATACATTTTGCTTATTATGAAGGGCTACACTGATGCCTTAAGTATGGCCAAAACGACCAAAATAAATTAACTGCATTACTCCAATCCTTAGCTGTAACAGTCCAACCTTTGGATCATTTTGAACAATTCTGCATTTCAACTAAAGATGTATAACTGACTAAGAAAGGCAATTATACTTAAAGAACACAACTAGAAAATGTTAGACTATAAACACCATATTGCCTCCCTAGAATTCTTATACAAAACATTAAAAACATTGGTTTCATTCGGAAAACTTGATCAGAAAACATACTGGTAACTCAGTTTCTGCTGCAAGAATGTATTGTGATTGGATAACTCACTTCCACATGGTTGGCCACCAAGCGACTGTCCCCAGTCACAGTCACAGAGAACTGGTAGTAACCACTGGCAGGTTGACTGGCCATAAAATTCAGCTCAAAAATGCCACTGGGAAGAAGAGCAGAGAGAGAGAGGCAATGTGACAACAGACAGATTTAAGACAGCATTCACTGGAGACGGAGCTGAATCTCATGGACACACCTTCCGGTGCGTTTACTCACTCTCTCTGGGTGAAAGGCTCCTGGCTCAAAACCACACTTTTTGAGGCCAAGGCATGTGCGGAATCCAACTGCACACTGACCGAGTTCAGAGGCTGTGATAGGACATCTGTGATCTGAAGCTTTTTTGGGGGGGGAGGGTTGGGGACACGGTCAGGATGTGAGGGAGAAGCACGCAAACGTTTCAGAAGCAGGGACCAGAGGCCAGCTGGCCGGTTACCTGCAGGACGGGCTGTCGGTGGGACACTGTAGCTGGGCCCTGGGAGCTGACCATCACGGGGATATGGAAGCGATTGCTGGAGAAGGCGGCCGCTGCACTGGCGACACTAAAGGCCTCCGACAGCGAGTCCCAGGACTTCTTACTGAAGATGGAGCTCACAAGCTGGATTACCTGATCCTAAGCAAACAAGGTAGAAATGAAACCACAGGCAGAGTTAGGGAACAACACATAAAGCACGTGAAGCATGAAGGTCTTCCCAGTGCAGATTTGGAGACGACAGCCTACCATGCCAAAGGAGTTCACATGAGATCAAGAATGCAAAATTAATGGATAACAACAACAAAAAAACACTTCACACTATTAAAGTTAACCAAGTTTTACAGGAACATATACAAGAATGTTGGAAATGTATAAAGCAACATTTACCCTCTTAGTAAACAGATTCTCTTTCTATAAACAAGGGTCCGCTTTCCAAAAAATCCCAACTGAGGGAGGGAAAGATGCGCACCTCTTTTAGGGGGGGTTCCATGTCCACGTGATCAGACAAGGCGTAGGCTGCAGTCACGAACAGAGCAGTGGCCTCAAGCCCCTCTTCAAACTGCAGGTAAACTCCACCCAAGTCATCCAGCCTCGCAGCCAAGTCCTAAGAGCAGTATGCAAGACATGGGGATTACATACAGCATTCATAGGGTTAATAACCCCACATAAATATACTGTAAAAACCAAAATAATCGGCGACTGGAGAATGAAGGGCCACTGCGAATTGGCAGCAAAGACAACTGCATGAAATGGCAGTGCCTTCAGAGTAGAGGTCGACCGATATATCGGCCGGCCGATATATCGGGCCGATATTTAGCATTTTT